AACCCCCCACCGCCCGACTCGGGCCGGGGAGCCCTCCAGCCCGCAGCCACCCCCCCCATTCCTGGAGAGAAAGTCCGCCACGGCCATCTGCGCCCCCGGCCTGTGGATCACCTTGAACTTAAATGGCTGGAGAGCCAGATACCAACGAGTGATCCGCGCATTGGTATCCTTCATGCGGTGGAGCCACTGCAGGGGCGCGTGGTCCGAACAGAGAGTGAACTCCCAGCCCAGGAGATAATAACGGAGGGTGAGAACTGCCCACCGCATCGCCAGGCACTCCTTTTCAATGGTGCTGTACATCGTCTCTCTTAGAGAGCTTACGACTGATGTACAGCACCGGCCGCTCCTCCCCCTCTATCTCCTGGGCCAGGACCGCTCCAAGCCCCCTGTCCGATGCGTCCGTCTGCAGCAAGAAGGGGAGAGAAAAATCAGGAGAGTGCAAAAGCGGTCCGCCACACAGAGCAGCCTTTACCTGGGTGAAAGCCTGCTGACACAGCTCCGTCCACTGGACCGGGTCTGGGGCTTCCCTTTTAGTAAGGTCAGTCCGCGGCATTGGATATGCGTCGAATTTCGACACAGCATTCACTTTGCGATAATCCACACAGAATCGTACCGAGCCATCCGTTTTTGGTACTAAAACTATCGGGCTTGCCCAATCACTGTGGGATTCCTCTATTACTCCCATCTCTAGCATCGCTTCTAATTCCACCTGAACCACCTTTTTTTTGTGCTCAGGTAAACGATACGGCCGGCTGCGAACCACCACACCCGGCTCGGTTTCTATGTGGTGCTGTATGAGGTCTGTTTGACCAGGTAGGGGCGAGAACACATCTGCAAATGCGCAAAGCGATGCCCGCGTGCCGATCGCTCTAATGGCCCGATGAGGTACATACCAATTCTTTCGAAGGGGGCCTGCAATAGAGGAAGAGGGCGCAAAGGCGCTTTTGGGGAGGCCGGTGGATTTACCAGCTGACATTCACGACAAGCAGCGCACCACCTGCGCACATTCTCGTGAATGCCCAGCCAAAAGAATCAGGCCATGAGACGATTTAGTGTCGCTGCCTGTCCTAAATGTCCCGCCATTGGATTACAATGAGCCGCCTGGAAAAGCATTTCCCGACGGCTTTTAGGTACCAACAATTGGGTTGTATCCTGCTTTGTCTGAGTGTCTTGTGTCACTCAGTACAACCACTCTTTTAAAACAGCAAAATAGGGATACGAGAGCGCTCCTTTAAAACAGCAAAATAGGGATATGAGAGCGGACTGTCGGGATGGAGAGGCTGACCGTCGATGGTCTGAACCTGTTCAAATGCTGGCCAATTCGTCCCCAAAATTAGCGGATGCCGGAGGTGCGGATTAATTGCGACCTCCACACTATGTTTTTGACCCCGAAATTGAATCAGCACGGACATTAGAGGATATTCCACCACATCCCCGTGCACACACCGCACCGGAACCATGCGGCTTCTATCCAATGCCTCGAGCTGAATCAGGCTTTGATGGATCGAGGTCTGGGTACAACCTGAATCCACCAACGCGAGATAGGTACCCCCCTTAATACTCACAGGTATTTGGTAAAGGCCAGCTTGATCGGGGGCAGCCTGTGGGTCGTCCGGGACCTGGATCAGTGCTCCGACTTCCATCACCGGTCAATTAAATGTCCGGGGTCCCCGCAACGCCAACAGGCTGGCCCAGACTTTCCCGCCGCCCTAGTGGCAGGAAGTGGGTCAAGGGACTGACGTGGAGAGAGTGGGAAAAAGGGAAGGGCTGCGGATCCCGCCCCGGCTAGCCCCGCCCCCCTGGGCGGTGCTCTCGGGCCAGCGGCAGACTCCGGAGGCGGCCCGCCCCGTCCCCGGGGAGGGACTTGAGGAGTGATTCCCGGACGGGACCTAGGAAAGGGAACAGGACGGGGGGGAAGAGACATTAGGGGAAGAGAGAGAGAGCGAGACCGCTGGCAAGGATTCGCCGACTCCTGGGCACGCCACCATCTGGTCTTCCGCCAACTGGATGGCCAGGTCCAGCGACACCGGGCGGTGGCACTGGACCCACTCAGCAGTCTTCTTCGGGAGACGGCCGATAAACTGCTCCAGCACCACATGGTCGTAAAGAAGAAGGATCTGCTCGACGTCGCTTCCCCCGGCCAGCAGCCATTTGCGGCAGGCGTCCCGGAGCTGTTGAGCCAACACGAAGGGCCGGCCACTTTCACCCAGATCCCGCGACCGAAA